GACACTTCGTGGTTGCATAGGCTGGTGTGCTTCTTCCATGTGGGCTTTGTTGCTTCTGAGCTTGATGGCCGCTTGATTACCTTCAAGCCTTTAAGACCCCGGACGCTATACTTTTTGATAGCCGGGACCACTGGCTTCATTCTTAAATTGATCAAGCAAAATCAAGATGCACTGATAGTTATTAGTGAGTAGAATGCATAAGTTGGAAACAAAGAGAACAAGCTAGAAAATACTTCTTGGTAATAGAAAGGAAGCTAGAGATCACATAACAGATTTTTGCAAGATCAATGACTTCTTCATCTCAAATACCTTTTGCAACATAAAAAGCTACCATATATATAGGCTTCCCCAGATGGAATACACACAAATCATATGACTACATTTGTGGAGAGAGATGTTAGAGAAGCACAATATCAGGCGCTAAACCCAGGACATGGGCTGACTGTGGAACAGACCTTCAATTGCTCATATATGAATTCAAGCTCAAACTGAAAAACATTAAATTTGACAAGTCCATTAAGTGCCAAAATATGACTTTGAAGATAGTCCACCTGAATTTCAAAAACATTTCAATGTCAAATTTGACGCATTGAACACTAATGACAGAAGACCTGATGAGCTGTGGAATGAAAACAAGATCATACATTCAGAAAGCAAAAGGTCATTAAAAAAGACAGGAGAGAAAGAGAAGATCAAGGTGGATGTCAGAGGAGAAATGATGAAGTCAAAGAACTGGACCAAAAACTTCAAAGAGCAGCTTGAGAAGACAAAATCAAATATTATAAAGAAATGGGCAAAGACCAACAGTTAGTAAACAAAAAAAGAATACAGTCAAGCATATCTTTAAATTGAAAGAACTCAAAGAATTCAAGCATCTGAAGGCAAACAAGGGGCCATCTAGCTCAGAAGCAACAAACCCCATATGGAAGAAACACACCAGCCGGTGTGATCATGAGGGGTCAAAAGGATCTGGTATCAGGCATCAAAGAACAAAATATATCATTGTGTGCTCACCTCCCCGATACGATTGCTGAAGACAAATGGGTGCATAAGCAAATGTGGTGAAGAAAGATGATGGTGCCCGGCTAGCAAAAGATATAGCATATAGCGTCTGGGATCTTAAAGGCTTATAAACAAGCAGCCATCCAGCCCAGAAGCAACAAAACGCACATGGAAGAAGCACACCAGCCTGTGTGATCCCAAGGTGTCGAAAGGATCAGGTATCAGGCATAAAAGAACAAAAAATCATATCACTGTGAAGGAGGGGGGGTGCAAATTGGGGACCCAAAGCCCATCTGTAGGCAACTGGACATCTCCTTTCAGAAGGGTTGCAGGGAGGAGTCGAGCCAGTCAGGGTGCAGTGTAGCAATGATAAAACATACAATGTTCTTCTAGTTCTTAAAATGCCCCACCCCCGCCCCACTATCATGATCCCAGTTCTACCTTACAAATCTGGCTAGACCAGAGGATGTACACTGGTATAGAAAGGAACTGGAAACACAAGGAATACAGGATGGATGATCCCTTCAGGACCAGTGGTGAGAGTGGCAATACCAGGAGGGTGGCGGGAAGGTGGGGTAAAAAGGGGGGACCCATTACAAAGATCTACATATAACCTTCTCCCTGGGTGCTGGACAACAGAAAAGTGGGTGAAGGGAGATGTTGGACAATATAAGATATGACAAAATAATAATAATCTATAAATGATCAGGGGTTCATGAGGCAGGGGAGAGCAGGGAGGGAGGGGAAAAATGAGGAGCTCATACCAAGGGCTCAAGTAGAAAGCAAATGTTTTGAGAATGATGATGGCAACAAATGTCCAAATGTGCTTGACACAATGGATGTACATATGGAGTGTGATAAGAGTTGTATGAGCCCCCAGTAAAATGCTTTAAAAAAAATCAAGTCTCAAGTTGCAATATTGAAAGATTCTATTTTTTAAAAAAAAGAAAGATTTTATAGGCAAACTATTGAAGGATGCAGGAAGCATCAGAAGATGATGGAAGGAAAACAGTCACTGTACCAAAAAAGAACTGGTTGACATCCTACCATTTCGAGAGAGAGTATTAAGCAAAAACCAACAGTACTGGAGGAAGAAGTCGAAACTGCACTGAAAGCATTATCCAAAAACAGCGCTACAGGAATTGATGGAATACCAATTGAAAAGTTTCAACAAGCTGATGAAGCACTGGAAGCACTTCCTTCTCTATGCCAGGAAATTTGGAAGACAAGTCACTTGGCCAACTGGAAGAGATCCATATTTGACCCAACAGAATGGACAAATTATAAAATATTATTAATGTCACATGAAAGTAAAATTTTTCTGAAGATCATCCAACAACTGTTGCAGCCAGAAGTTCAGGCCAGAACAGGGATATCATTGCTGATGTCAGATGGTTATTGGCTGAAAGCAGAGAATACCAGAAAGCTGTTTTCTTGTGTTTTATTAACTATGCTAAGGCATTCAACTATGTGGATGACAACAAACTAGATAGCCTAGAAAAGAATGGGAATTTCAGAACACTTAATGGTGCTCATTCAGAACCTGTACATGGATTAAGAGGCAGTTGTGAGAAAGAACAAGTCAATACTGCATGGTTCAAAATCAAGAAAGGTGTGTTAGGATTGTGCCGTTAGCATACTTATTCAATCTATACAGTGAACAAATAGGAGAAACTGGATTATATGAATAATTTGGTTTCAGGAATGGAGAAACGCTTATTAACCACCTACAATATGCAGATGACACAACCTTGCTGACTGAAGTGAGGAAGACACGTCACACTTGCTAATGAGTATCAAGGATTGCAGCCTTTGGTATGGATTACAACTCAACATAAAGAAAATTAAAATCCTCACGACCAGACAAATAGGTAACATGATGATAAGTGGAGAAAAGATTGCAGGTGTGAAGGATTTCATCTTGCTATGATCCACAATCAATGCTCATGGAAGCAGCAATCCAAAGATCAAATGACATATTGCACTGGGTAAATCTGCTGTACAAAGCTTTTTTAAAAAGTGTTGAGATCAAAATAAATAAACAAACAGACAGACAGACAGATAAAGTGTTGAGATCAGTTATCAGGCATCAAAGAACAAAAAATCTTATTATGTGCGCTCACCTTCCTGACACAATCACTGAAGACAAAGCGGGCGCATAAGCAAATGTGGTGAAGAAAGCTGATGGTGCCCAGCTATCAAAAGGTATAGCGTCTGGGGTCTTAAAGGCTTGAAGGTAAACAAGCAGCCATCTAGCTCAGAAGCAACAAAGCCCACATGGGAGAAGCACACCAGCCTGTTCGATCACAAGGTGTTGAAGGAATCAGGTATCAAGCATCATCAGAACAAAAATCATATAACAGTGAATGAGGGAGGGGAGGAGTATGGAGTGGGGACCCAAAACCCATCTATAGGCAATTGGACATCCTCTTATGGAATAGACGA